TGCCCTGTGCCACCTTCCCTGTACTTTGAGTCCCTTCACCTGTGCTCCCCCTGCCACCCCTTCCCATGCTTCCCCCACCACCGTGCACTTTCCCTCATGCTCCCCCCTGCACTGCACACCTCCCCATGTCCCTTCCCTGCGCACCCCCTTTCCCCATGTTCCCCCATACACCACATGCCTTTTCCCCCCATGCTCCCTTTACTCCACATGTCCTTTCCTCTACAGCCCCCTTGCTCTATGCATGTCTTTCCCTGAAATCTCCCTCCCACCTTTCCCCCCATGCTCCTACACACCATACACCTCTTCCCCATACTCTACCATACACCCCCTACCTGGCACATGAGCCACCCTGGCCCCATCTGGAGCCACAGCAGCTGCTTGCCTGGCCCATACTCAATTCTAAGACTAGAGGTGTCCCGTCCTCTCCATGCTGAATGGGAGAAAACCACTGTCTTACATTTGAGTAAATACAGTAAAGTTATTAAAATAATTTTAATTATGATATACTTAACCTAACATACAAGCATTCTGATTATGTTTATTGTTGGCAACTAAACAGAACCTTGCTTAACATTTTTAAGTAATTGGCAAACAAAGAAAAGTTTTAAAATCTTGTACATTTCATTGTCAAGTATCTACTTTTTATCTTCTTTGCTGTTAGTGTTTTTCATCCCATTATAGGCCTGGGGCAGGAGAAGAAGCAAACTAGTAAGTAGTTAGTTGATAGTAAGAGAGGAGATAACCGAAGAAATGGGGATGACAAAGAAATAAAAGGTGGACAGAAGCATGGAGGACAGGGAAAGCTAGGGTACTGATGGAAGGACCGTGACAATATTGGGGTAAACAACAGTTTTTCTGAAAGCGCTCGCTGTGGCACAAGACAAAGAATGCCAGGAGTCAGTGATGCTGCTGGCCTCACTGTGGCTCCTGAAGATGCAATGTTCTGACTTGACTACTCCACGGAGTTGGGAAAGTCTTCTATTACAGGGCTGGTTCTACCCTGGGACACCCTGCCTCTTCCCCCCCAGGTCCAACTGGCTGAAGCAAGCAGTACCCCAAAGGAAGGATCACCTCTGCTAGAATCTGGAGAGTCTAACTGAGACTGGAATACTTCCTGCTGCATATACGAGTTGATCCTGTATTATATTTGTAATGGACACTTATCTATGTAGCTCTCTATGGTCAAGAAGACACACATTTTAAAATTAAAAGTCATTATTAAGTGTGCTTTACCTATTGTAGGATGTTTCTCAGATGTACCTCATACCAAGGCAGTAACATATCACAGAGAGGAATGCAGCATTAAAAACACAGCTAGGCCATGAACACTATTAGAACAAAAACAGTTTCCTTTAGGCAGGAACTGTGCAAGACTCCTTGGCATTTTGTTCCTTGAATAGCATGATGGAATCAGATCCCAACAACCATGCCTCTTACCATGCTGTCTATCCATGTGTAGCGGGACACCTGACTTTAGGATCGAGGATCAGATCCTATTTCATAGACATTAGGGCTGAAATTTGTACCATTTCAACTTGCCAATGCAGGGGATCAGGTGCCCATGGCAATCAGCCTGTGCAGTCCCACAGCCGATTGCTGGTCCCAGTCCTGGGATAGCACCAGTCTCCAGCCAGCTTGGAGGCTTTACAATGCCACTTGGACTGGGGGAAAATAGAGGGGGGACATCCCAGAGTAGAACTAGACCTGGGGCCAGAGAATTTCCCAACTCAACAAGCCATGGAGAAGTCTAGTTGGAACCCCACATCCTCAACAGCTGCACAGTGCTTTATCCCAGAGACACCACTAGACTGCTTTTTCCATCATCTTACTGATCCTGCCCATCAGCTGATTGTTAGTTCCAACACCAGGACCACACCAGAGTCTCCAATTGACTCCAGTGTACTCCCAGGGCTGGATTGACAATTAGCTACCCTGCCACACATTCAATTTAAGACATAATGGAAACCAGCCATAAAAATATTACACATTTTGTGGAATACTTTTGTGCCTGGTTTCCCATTCCATCATATCATTAATTGTCTGAACATGTGGCTGGGTTACTATTTATGGTGCAGTTCACAGGTTAATCATGTCTTAGGTGTAACGTCTGCCAGGGGCCTAGAACTCATCCTTTCTTGTTTTGATGCAAGCAATGTTTAGTTACCCACCATCCTGCAGCTTTATGCCACCACATGACAGAACCACAGACCTGCTCAACTGTGTGATCATATCATCCACTAATGACTCCAGCTGTTAAGAAGATAAACCCAAATGCTAACATTCAACTCTGAACATGTCCCATGTTATAGTAGTTTGGTTTTCAAGTGTCACAGAAAAATGCAAAAAACACAATGCTCTCAGTTACCTGGTGCTGGTATGGCATTGTGAGTAGGTGATGCAGCCAGTCCCAAGTGACTTCCTGAGACAGGCAGGGCATTGCTCACAGAGGATGAGGTCAGCTGGTCCATCCCCACAGGACTTAGGTTCATTTCATTCATTCTAAGGAGGAAAAATACCTGCCAGGTCACTTGTAGTTTGTTAAATCCTGCTTCAGTACTATATGCAGACTCAGGATTATACATGTTTCATACTTTAAAAAAAAAATTTAAGACTACTATGGCACATTAGCCTCAAAAGAATCTTCCTCACTGAACAGAAAAGAAAGTTCTCTCACTATCAAATGGAAGACATTTTGTAGATAATACATCCCATGCCCTTCATACACACGAATCACATCACATACCAAAAAAAAATATTAATATTAAAGACACTGGCTTAAAACAGAAACAAAACAAGGCCCTAACTTATTTGCTATTGTCCAAGAAGGAAAGAAGGTTGCTGAGCAATAGTCATTACATCCCAATACCTGACATGGATATTCTATTTCAAACTTTTGTGATCTTGTCAAATTATGTTTTGGAAGAGGAGGTCTATTTAACTATATCTAGTTTGGATGAACCCATGGGAACTCTCTCAAGTATCACAGCGTCTGTCATCTAAATACCCATTTCAAAAACAGCGAACTGTAGTAATTTCACTACAGTGATGGTGACAACCTACTATCAATAACCAAATTATTTTAGTAACCAAACACCACATTGATATTTTGACTTCTGTTCAACAAGGATGGTGTCCCTTATGTGTTTAGGAAATGGAGCCACACAAAATCTTGCTTTGTCTCAAAACTGCTGAACTGGAGACTTTGCCCCCTTGATTAGTACCACAATGGTGCTGGCCAATAAAGACAAAATCATTTCCATAGCATAGATGTTTTTCAGAGGACAAGCTGGCAGTCTCAATCTAGTTTTTCAGAGACTCATGTTCTCATCATACACAAAGGAAAGCTGCCATCACAACTAACATATTAGCTGTGTCAAGATCAACAGCAGTGAAGAATAAATTCAGTATGGATTCTACACTACTATCTTCTGCCCTATTAGGTCTATTTGCTAGGAGGGAAAGCAAACTCAAATTCTTATCACTCATTATTGCAATCAAGTCTACAGACAAACAGGACCGCTCTGGTCTGCCTCGCACCTGTTGCTAGCACCAAATTCATTCCATGAGCTGGCAGTCACAGTGCTTTACTTCGGAGAAGTGGCCAACAGAAGTTCACCATGCTGAAGACCTTTCTGGTCTCCTTCGAGGGCTGTATCTCCATCCATACAGAAACAACATACCAACATATCCAAGGGCCCAGCTATAAAAGTTGTTACACGTTTGCATGCACTCACTTTAATAGCTGGTTGACTCTTTTTATAGCTGAACAGTCATCTTTGTCTAGCAATAATTACTCAGCACATTTACAGCACAATTCACCAGTGAATGTCATGATCATTATGCAGTACACATGGCCAGCCTATGTTCATGGTGCAACTCGCCAGTGAATGGTGGGTGAGATCATTCCTTGGTGCCTGTGGCTGGTTTACATTTATGACACGATTCATCAGCAAAGGGTACGACTGTGACTTGGCAACTGCTGCAGGTCCCAGCGACCGATGGTGTTATTCACCATTGAATGGTGAGGTCCTTGCTTTGCCCACGCAGCCAGTCTACATTTATGCCACGATGCGCCACTGAATAGTGCAATTGTAACTTAGCACCCGTGACTGATTTAAATGTATGGCACTATTCACCAGCAAATGGCACAATCATCACTTCACACATGCAACTGGTCTAACATTTATAGTGCAACCCACGGTGAATGGTGTAATTGTTACTTAGCACCTGTAACTGGTCTAAATCTATGGTGCCACTCACCAATGAATGGCGGGATCCCTGCTTTGCCCATGCAGCTGGCCGACATTTATGCCATGATGCACCAGCAAATGGTGCAATCGGTACTTCGCTGTGACCAATCTAAATGTACAGTGCTATTCACCAGACAGTGGCATGATCATCACTTCACACATGCAAATGGTCTACATGGACAGCGCAACGCACCAGCGAATGGTACAATCCTTCCTCTGTACCTGCTGCCAGGCTACATTTATGGCGCAACGCACCAGTGAATGGCGTGATCCCTCCTCAGCACCTGCTGCCAGTCTACGTTGCTGGCGTGACTCACCCCCAAACCTTACTGGGTATGGGTAAACCTATACAGGGTGGCACCACTCCCCAGCGCATTAAATGTAACGGGTCGCAGGCCCCAGGCAGGGCGCCCCCGCCCCGCCTTGCTCACCTGGGATGCATCGGGCCAGGGCCAGGGCCGGGGCCGGGGCCGGGGCCGG